TTATTGACATAGAAAGAATCAATATAAATAGCAAATATGTATTTAAATTGCTCTGTTATGATTCAATTCTTATCAATTTTAATATGGAAAAACCACACTTGCCAGAGGCACATCATCCACGCAAGTCGCCGCTCCAAATATTGACTTTCCATGCTCTGCACCTCTATTAGAGTTTGCTTCAAAATTTGAAATTTCATGCATACCCGCATGAGTCGTCGCTCCAAATCTTGAATTCTCTTTCTCGGTGGCCGCACACATAGTTGCTTCAAAACTTGGATTTTCTTGTCCAACGCTTGCTCAAGTTGTTCTTTCAAATCCTGGATCCGCCTTCCGAGCTCTTTAGTTTTTATGTCTCGCGGGTCAATCTGATGCAGTTGTCTATATTCTTCAGGAACGAATCCACGTTCCCTACTCTCGTGACTCCGCCGTCGACGGCTTCCACGATTCTCTTCAGCCATTGGTTGAAGGCAACCTAGTGCTCTGATACCAAATGGTGCCGAAAGCGCATAGAAAAGATGGCTAAACAGAAAGTTAGGATTTTCATAAAAGAGTAACCCTCCGGTTCTCAATTATAATTCTCAAATAACAAAATTCAACTCCTAGAATAAGGGTCATAAGCACCCTTTTATAGACTAATTACAAATTGATTCAAAATTCAAAAATCTAAAATTCTAAAAATAATAAAACTTCCTAAAATAAATAAAAGTAATTAACATCTCAAAAATAAATAAAAAATTACAAATAAATAATTCAAAATACATCCCAAATCTTTAATCTCAAATTAGGCCAAATATGTTGCTTTATTTTCTTCCAAAACAAATCACAATCACATCTGCTGCTTTATTGAGACTTGGATTTGATTGTAATTTGTTATATTTTAAATCATTGCCTTTTTCAACAATTGGGCCATATTTATTAGGCCACAACTCTAGTTGACTACGAGCTTCTTCAATCAATGATTGAGCCATGTACAATGGGCCAACTGTAAGTGCATCAATTGGGTGTCGATGTTTGGTTGAGAGAGGTTCCAAATTTATCTAGCAAACCATTTTGTCTATTATTTTGGGAAGAGATTGCCAGCCAAAAAAATTCTTTTCATATATGGTATTTGCTGTTAGCTATGTATTTGGTTTAGTGGGTGTAATAAGCAAAAGAACAACTTACCTTCTGTTACGAGTGTACATCAATGTTTTAATATTTTAATATTGTAATGTTGCCATCTACTTTTGATTCTTATAAAAGACAAATAATTTATTATTATTTTAGCAAACATCATCTTTTGTTTCGGTCCATGCATTACTATCTGTAATTCATCTTTTTTCTTTCTTTTTTCCTTTTTTTATAAAGAAAAAAACAAACACGATTTGAATACCTTAGCTATTCGTTTTAATCCATAGTTGTTTTTATGACTGATTCATTTTTGAAAAACAAGGTTATTTTCGTAATAGCACATTTTTTCCCATCTATATTTTACCAAAAGCCAAACATAGACTTTACAAAAGTTACCTAATTTCTCCGGTAAAATTTTTTCCAACCAAACAACTATTTTTACATTTTCCTACCAAACTCACTTCCCAACAATTTTCCTACTAATCACATTTTCCTATGATTCATAAAAAAATTTCTTCAACCAAACGCCCCCTAAGTGAAGGAGAAAGAATGGAAAATTGTACTGTTAGTTTCACTTAACATGATATAAATTTGTATTATTTAAAATAATAAATATTTATTTATTTTAAATATAGCTTATTTTTTGGGAAAATATTTTTATGTCACTAATTTATTTAAGGGATAGGATATTGTTACTATCAAATAATGTTACTATCAATATTACTATCATATCTTTAAAATTTATATTTTGATTATTTTTTTAGGAGTTTAAAGGTGTTAATCGATGTTATTAAACTTGGCCCGATCCGGCCAGGTCAATTCAGAAGGAACCACTTATAGGACCGGTTCGAGTCAAGTATCAGATCGTTTATGTATCATACCTGGTCAAAATCCGATCAAAACCAATGATCTAGTGTCCCGACCAGGTCATGCATTTTTATAAAAAAATAAAACCAAAATCAAAAATTGTTTCATCTTGTTAGAAAAAAATGTATAACTCATTTTAAATTTTTTTGTAATTTTATTTGCTAATAGTATACTCTTCTACAATAACTTTAAATTTCAGCTTCCAATACTGAAGCAATTTATGAAACAATAAATTAAGAGAATCTAACATGTCATTGAAAGGTATGCTTATAGGGATTCTGAAAATTTAATTATTTTTTTCCAGCTCATTCCTAAAAAATAATATTCCAAACCCTTTCCCACCATGACTACCCAGATCTCGACCACTTCGACAACGACGAATATGACGATGTTAACGCAATAACTTTGAAGACTTCTCCGGCTTCGACCCTCAGGAGGAATCCTACAAGGAACAAAACTTCTTTGTATTTTCTAAATTTTGGGAATGATAACGGTTTGAGATTTGGGATCTTTTGGGGGGTTTTGAAGGGTCGAATTTAGTGATATAAGTCTTTGGATTTTGCTTCATTGCCTTGTTTGGTTGAAGAGGGTTTGATAGGGTTCGTTTTGAATGAAGATTTTGAAAGGATAAAGAAGGAAAGCTTCATGGTTTCCCTGTAAGAAAAATCAATGGTCCTTGATCCCAATCACAAAATAATAATAATAATAATAATAATAATAATAATAATAATAGTAATAAAAATCAAAATCAATCTCTAGAAAATGAAGGTGAATCAGGATGAGTTGAGTTTTTTTCAAATTGCATCTTCATGTCGTGCTTCTCTGATTTGCGTTTTCATTTCGTTCTTCCCATTTCTCTTTCTGCGAAGGTTGCTAGGTTGTGTTAGGGTGTCCTGCTGTAATTTTTTACTTTCTCTCTTTTTTTTAGTATATTTTGGTACTCTCTCTTTGTATTAAACAAAAAATTAATTTAAAATATTTTGTTCAAAATTATAATTTTCAGAGTTGTATAAATAAAATTAAAAATTAATTTTTAATATGTTATGTGATATTTTGTTATAAAGGATATTTTATTCCATTTATATTATATCATGATGATATCTGATTAACTTCAAACACATGATAGGATAATATAATCCTATTAGATTGTTCTATCCAGTATACATCAAACACATGACAGGATATGAGCTTATCATGCTCATATCATATCCTATCCTTATCTGGTCCTTTTATTCGATCATGTCCACCAAATGAGCCCTAATTGTATAATGAGGTGGAATGATTGTTTGATGTATTATGTGTGTGGACCTATTTATCATGCTCATATCATATCTTAGGTAATAGCAATTTTTTTTTAATTAAATGACATATTTTTGTGTGTAAATTTAAAAAAAGAAATGCAATAATCCCTTCTGACCCAGGAATCACAGGTTGAACCGAAAATTTCAAGGTCAAAGGAGTCAACGTGCATACAAGGTTTAATTGCTGACCCCAACCATTATAGAGACCAAATTTGGTTTCTATTCCAAAACCAAATTTAACTTTTAAAAATGTTAAAAAGAAAATGAAGTAAACTGTAGAAATTAACATACAAATTAATAAATATATATGCCAAAAGATAAGCGACATAACATTAAATTATATGGTATCACGGTGCTTCCTGTCATCAAAACTTATAGCTCTTTAACTTAAAGGAATAAAGACATTTTCACTTACCCTTTAATGGCGATACGCTCAGTGCAAACCAAAACAAAGTGATCCCTGAGTAAACTAGCAAATCATAACAATTAATTTGTACAGATCATATCAACTCGCTATATAATCAAATTAAATCATACGTTTAAATTTGTCTAAATTTTTTTATTTAGTATTTTTTATTTCTAAAATGAAACTCATTTAGTTATAAATTTAAAATATTTAATTTATTATAATTATAAATTTATAAAAAAGATAACTGTTATATGTAATTAATTGAGCTCAAGTCAGGTCTATTGAGCTTATCAAGATAGAGACCAACTAGATAAGTATACAGATTTCTTTGGAGTTAATATTAGTTATAATTAACTAAACACAAAATCTCTTAAAAAATAACTGAAGATACAGGTGTAATTTTTCAAATAAAAGATATAAATATAATTTATGCTAACTAAAAAAGAAAAGGGTAATAATCCCTTAAATAATAAAGAATTCGTTGGTAGGAAGAAGACTGAACCTGAACTGAAGTTCTAGATGTACTTAATCCTGAAATTGTTTAAGGATCTAAAATCAGTGTTGCATTAATTCCACATGGGTTGCCACTTGCATCGAAACGGCACCACTTATTCTTCGGCCGGTTTTCTTTGTCTAACGTAAAGCTCACCTTCCCCTTACTACGATCACGTAAGTCTTTTCTACGAACAAGTCAGAGAAAGGACTTTTTCGAATCGCATGTTGAATTTTGAAATGTGCCCAATTGTGCTAAACAACACCCCACCCCACACACACACACACACACATCTCCACACGGCTACACCACCGTATTGACTGGCATACTACTAATTCTCAAAAATCTCACGGTCACCCATTGAAAACAAAAAAACAAAAAAAAAAAACAAAAGATTTGCTTTGTATTTTTTGCCTTCACGAAAATTTATACGGGTACACCGTCCAATAGTGGTTCAGGAAGCTCGAAACAGAAGCACATCTATCGTACAGTAATGCGTGACAAATGGCGTTTGTCAATTGTCATATTCCATGCAAAGTCGTATGATTCGGTTCCTATAATAATAATGCAATTTTTGTTTTTAGGTGTATAAACGGAGTCCATAAAATCTAAGTCATGCCAATTGCCACCAGAAAATTTGTTTACAAAAAAGAATATATCTATCTGTATTCTATTTGTACTTTTTAAAATGCACAAAAATTGATAAAAGGGTAAGTGAAAAAAATGTACCACGAGGACAAATCATCAAGGGTGAGTGGTTGACTAGCTAGTAGTATTGGAATTGGAAAGGACACCAAAGCCAAATTGACAAGTGAGAATCTTAGAGGTCCTTGATGTTGAGGGTGGATTGTTCCTGGTGGAATTCCAACCACGATTTTCCTTCGTCTCCAACGACACCTAGCGAGTCCACCACATCTTCCCTGCTCCATCCCGCACGCAGTAAAATCAACGACAACACTCTCACGTGCCACACCATCGCCTCTTTGTCTTTCAGTTTCAACTCATGCTTGTCTTTCTTCGTCTCTTCCTCTTCCTCGTCCTCCTCCGTCACCGTCATCATCTCGCGTATCTCCTCCTCCCTCCACCCTCCATCTCTCAACCTGCACACCACCCCTTCCAAACACACACCCAATTCACCTTTCACACGGCCCCACCACCACCACCTCCCGCCGCTCGCATCCGCCATCTCCGACCAGAACTCGATCCTCCTAGCCGTCGTCGCAGCCCACACCGGCTCCAAATCCTCCGACTCAGACATAAATTCCGCCTCCCGGAAGAATCCGGCGATGTCGAAGCTCAGCAGGCGGACATCGCCGCGGTGATCGACGTAGAAAACAGGGTTTCCGGCAACGTCGCGGGACGAAGGCATATAACAATGGCGGTAGATTGGGACGAGGATGGGCGCATCATTCAAGAGGCGGCGCGCGGCGTGGGTAGGTTCGGGGGGTTGTGGGCCCCACGAGGGGTGCCAGAAGCGGTGGTCGGAGACACGGCGGAGGATGGATGAGGAGGGGAGGTTGAGGAGAATCTGGAGTTGTTGTGTTGAGGAGGAACGCCAGTTTGGGAATCCCGGTGAGATTGGAAGGCCTTGTTGGAGAATGACACGAAGGTCCGGTGGGAAAGAGAAGTTGAATTTTGATTCAAGGTAGGAGAATTCTGTGTCGGAGAGCCCTTCGTCGACAACAACGTTGGATGATTTGAGGCGGTGTAGGAGGTTGTTTGCGTATGCAGCGAATGAGAAGCATATTCGTTTGGGCTTTGATTTCGCTCTGGCACCATTCTCTTCCATGGTATTGCCATTGGTAATGGTGGCCATTCTAAATGTCAAAATGGAACTGAAAATTTAGATATTTGTAATATGGGAAAACAAAAAGTGAATGGAAATCGAGGTGTTCAGATTGGTAGTTTTGGCAACGCCCGCTTCTGAAGGATTCAAGGAAGATTGATCAGTGCTTGCGTTACGGACGTAGTTATCACTTATTACTGTTCTGTTTGGATGGTACTGAGGGAGCCAATAAGTTGCGTAAAGAGAGATACATAGAGAGAGAGAGAGTGTGTTTGACTCTTATAGGATATATCATATTGTTTCAAAACCGCAAATAAAAAAATAAAAAATTTACGATATTGCTTCTTAACATTAAAATGAAGGTTACGTTAGTAAGGCAATCTTAGCAATTTAATACTTTTTTATTTTGTCCTCTTTGCTTCCATTTCAGAGCTGTGAATCTAATTCATTATTCATTAGTGCTTTATCCTGGAACCCCCACATTCATCTTTTAGGTAAAACAGAGCCAATAGAGATAGAATTAATATCCATTTAATATAATGTCCATTCATGGCTTTTTAATATTAAATGATAAATGATTCTCCTCGCTCTCGGTATATAATGACCTTAACGTGAATTTCTATAGCTGGACCAAGGAGAAGATTGGGATGTACTCAATTACTCATGTATCCTTGCTAAATTGGATGGCATTGAATTATAATTTCCATGTTGGCTTTATTATTTTGATAATGACTGCTTTATAAATTTCTAACTCTAAGTCATTAGTTCCAATTTAATACTTATTATATCCTGGCATAAAGTCCGGATCACACAGATGTTATGCACTAAACGTAAACACATTTTTTTCTTATGTTTTTACTCAATGTTTTAGAAAATGACATCACTTAACACTTTTATTTATTTATTATAATTTGCTACGTTTCTCTTGCAGCTCATTTTACCTGAGGATTTCAAACCACATCTAAATTTTAGGAGATAATTTTATTTCTTATATATATATATAAATATGTGGAGACCATTTTTTTATTCTCTTTTTTTATATAGGGTCCACATATTTTCATGTGTGTAAAGAATATAAAATTATTTATCACAACATAATATATATATACATATATATATATATATGAAAAATATTTTGTGTATTTGGCAGAAATTTCTTACCTACCACAAAAAAAAGGAAAAGAGAAACCCATAAAGAGAAAGAACATGATAATTAATGGATTTCACCCCTTTTTTTCTCTCGTGGCAGATCATAAATTTTTACCACAAAAGCAGAAATTTTTTCTTTATATATATGAGGAAAGTTATATTTATAACCTATTTTCGTTTACAACTTCTTATAACCATATTTTAACCGTTAATTTCCATCAATCAACGATTAAGATTTTCGCAAATCAAATTTATTAATTATTTATTAATTAATTATTAATCACAATAAATGACAACCGAAAATCAACTGTTAAGATATGATTGTAAGAGTTTGTAAACTATTTGTGTTGTAAATATAACTCCTGTATATATATATATATATATATATATATATATATATATATAAATTTATTATTTATTAGCTAGATTATTTATTTGGGCTAGCTTAACCTATTGGTGGTGGTCTCCCGCCACGGACTTTCCTTGGACCCGCCTAACAGTGGTATCAGAGTCGGGTTGTGCTCGAATTGGCCTGGTGATTGGCTAGGAGACGGGTTGAGTACTTGGGCCCTGGGGTAATCGGTTGAGGGAAAGCATATCAATGTTGGGTTTCACACTTGAGGGGGAGATTGTTGAGATATTCAAGTGTGACGAGTCTCACATTGGTTTTGGTTGTTAATGGGCTAAGTGAAAAATATATAAGTGGAAGGATCCATGAACTTAATGCCTTAAGGTTTTGGGTTGAGATGTGGTGTCAGACCCACTTGGTGTATTTGATTCGCTTAGCTCATTGGTTGGGATATTCAAGTGTGATAAGTCCCATATTGGTTGGTAATAGGCTAAGTGAAGTGAATATAAATAGAGCGACCCATTAACCCAATGTCTTACTCGAGCTAGCTTGGTGATTGGCTAGGAGGCGGGCCTTAGAGGTACTTAGTTGAGGGGGAGTATATCGATGTTGAGTTTCACACTTGAAGGGAAGATTGTTGAGATATTCAAGTGTGATGAGTCCCACATTGGTTGGTAATGGGCTAAGTGAAAAGTATATAAGTGGAAGGACCCATGAACCAAATGCCTTAAGGTTTTGGGTTGAGATGTGGTGTCAGACCCACTTAGTGTATTTGGTCTAACTTAACTCATTGGTGGTGGTTCCCGCCACGGGCGGGCTGTGGACCCGCCTAACAATTAAAATAATTACAACCGTCCATTGAGTCCGTTAGATTGACGGAAATCAACGGTTAAGATGTAGTTGTAAGGGGTTGTAAACGAAAATAGGTTGTAAGTATAATTTCTCTTAAAATAATAAAATATTAAGTTATTCCCATAAAAATCTTAAACAGTTTTCTATATTAAACTTAAAATATAATTAAAATAAAAAAATATAAATACCATTAGAATTAAAAAAAATTGGAAAATCAAAGAAGAACGCTCGTACATACTACATACGCTGCAAGCAGAAAATTCTAAGTACATCAAAAAATAAATAAAAATATGTATTTAACCTTTTTCAATTTAAAATTAATTTTAAAATAGAAAAAATATTTTTACTTTTATTAAAGAAAAAAAATTTATGTCATACTCACATAAAATGAGTGAGTTATATTATAAAGAGAAGAAAAAGAAAACATTAGTGAGACCCATTTTTTTTATGTGAATATAACAAAAAAAAATCGCAATAAAAGCAAAAACATTAAATCATTTTAAAATAAATTAAATTTAAAATAAATATATTTTTACTCATTAATATCTAAAATAATTTTGTTTTTTAAACGTCTTTCTCATAGTCAAAGTGTGTAAGGCTTTTCTTTCTTTCTTTTTTGGTAATGATTGTGTAAGCCTTTTCTTATGACGTATGTAGTTTACTTTTATTTATTCAATATTTAATTTTTGCCAATGTAGTTCTTGTTTTTCAAATTGAAAAAAAAGGTGTATGTCGTACGTACAAATGTGTAATTCCTCCCTTGTTATATGGAGCTAGATTTTTTTTTTAAAACAAAAATAATTATTTGATAACCTTGATAATATGTATTTCAAATTTGGGCTGGTAATAAATCAATTAATAAAGGGTTGTTCCATTTTAATCAATGATTTAAAATTTGAGTCCTTGGTCCATGAACAGATGAATAATAAAAAATAAATAAAAAATTGGGGCTGTATCTTATTATTTTCAAATTTATTTAATAATTAGTACTTTTATAATAAAATAACAGAAAATTTTCTTTGTGTAATAGTATTAATAAATGAGTCTAAACGACAAAACACATTGAATGCCTTGATTGATATGGCAAAATGTAAACGTAAATCCACATACTGGTCCCAACCAAAATTTTGGGTAACTCTTCGTCTAGTAAGAAGATACACCAATTGATTAGAGTTGTCACCGTTATCCAATAAATATATTGTCAAGGAACTAGATGCAAGACACTTCTTGTAAAACTACATTACCAATTGTTAAAGGGAGTAAGATCTTTAGGACTAGTTGCTATGGCATTATTCATGGCGCAGCCACCCTCATCATTTGTTAGACCAATTTCTCCCTCAGCTGAGCTAGTGACATTTTCCATTTCCTCCTCATTTTCATCTTTGTCTGATCCTACAATACCATCTTCCAGCTCTTCTGAACCATCCTCTTCGTTTGCAAAATTCCATCCAGGAGTTATCGTTCCTCCTTGTTGGATGAAACTGCCATTATGGAAGAAACTTTGACGTGCTACATCTAACACATCCCTTGCAGAGTTTTGAGAAGGGTTACAAGAAATCCACCCATGATTCCCATCACCAGTATTTCCAATGTATTTAGCTGAAACATCCATGCTGTCGTTCAACACTTTATCTGGTTGGCATGGTTCAGAGTGGGCAAGTTTCAAGCCTTTATCTTTATCCTTCTCATAATTAGTTTTTACTCCTGAAGTGGAACTCAAAGCGGGTCTACTTTGACACATTTGGATTCCCTGTTTTTCCTGATGAACTTGGCCTTGGTAAGCAGACATCATTGAGTTGCTTTGTTTAATCTGTATGTTATTGATCCTGCTCACATCTGTTACAGCACTTAAGATCTTTTCATTGATTTCCCCCCGTGCCATTGTAGAAGTAGAATGAATTCCTATTTCTTTATCTTCCACCTTTTTAAGGACAACTTTTTCAAAGATGGATGATTTACTCTCAAACTGAGTCTTACTCAGTGCAGGCTTTCTACCTCGACCTTGGGGGTGAGACTCATGTAATGCATCCACTGAGGTCCATGACCGCTTAGGCCTCCCTCTCTTTGATGGTTGTCCTGTTCCTACTGGGATAGTCCCAATAACTTCATTAGTTGGCTTTTCCACTTTCTGTTTGAGTGATGAGACTTCTTCTTCAAGCTTCGTGAGCCTATCCTTGTAATCAGAAACTTCAGCTTGCAATTTATCTATCAAACTCCACAGCTGAACATTCTCCACTGACTGCAATAATAAACTTGTTCATATTTGTAATGAAGGCACTAGAAATCATAATGAGGAGTGTGAGAGCTGGGAGAAGTATTAACCTGAGCTTCCCAAAGTTGCTGGTGCTTCTGAGAAAGTTTTATATGTGGTCTGATGATTCCTCTTTGGAAAGAATGATCCCCAGATGCCAAGCAGCCAGCCATCCCAGGTGTTGCTGAAGAAAAGCCAAGAGCACCAGGAAAATTGTAAACATAAGGATGCTGTAATTGGTGCATCTGACCCAAGCAAGAAGATGGATCCCAAGGACCTGTAAACAATTGTGGTCGCAAACTTTATATATTATCGCTTAAATTTACATGTTTACTGCACACGGCTGAGTAGCTGACAACAATACAGAAAATGATGAATTAGCTAGTAAAAATCACTATATTCAAATACGTGTACATTCAATTCAAAATATACACTCTAGTTATAATCCAAAAAAAGCATTCCTACTCTCATAATTATCAAAAGAACTCTAAAATAACTACTGTAGACTGCAAATCATATGAAGAGCCAAAGTTGCATACTTACCAGGAAAGCAAGGAAATGGGTACCCAACTTGGTAACCCATATTGGGAACTAGGGTTGTTGAGGAAGTTCCTCCTGGTACAACATGATGAGGTTGCCAGCCAGTATCTGCAGGCGTCCCAAGAGGAGTGAGAGTCTGAAAAATGGTAGGGACATTTGCTCCAAGCAATGGGCCACCACCAGTAGGTGGTTGAGGCTGCCAAAAGGGTGATGTTGACTGTGCAAATACCTGACCTTGTTGCGAATGTGGTAACTGCTGCCACTGATTTAAGGTACCAGGTGATGGTGCTTGGCTAGGGATGGGTATTGCCAGGAACTGTTCAGCAGCAGTTTGAGGAGTGTAGGACCACTGAACAATTGGTGGTTGTTGTTGTTGCTGATTTGTGTTATCATGTGATGCACTACTAATTTTGGTACTAGGACCACGAGTTACATTTGGATGAGCTTTGTCTTGCTTGTCCTGTTAATCATCATCAGATTCATCTTAATAAACTGAAAAGAAGTATTTAAACAATCCACGTTGCATTGCATAAGTTTTTATGCTTCTACATCTCTAAGGTAGTTTTTGCCTCCAAGACAAAATATTCATCGTGGTTAAGTAGTTTTTGCTTCTTTAATGATAAAATTAAAATATGCGATATTCAACAAGTCAACGAATTGTGGCAGGTAAAGCCAAAAAAAAAAAAAAAAACGAGGCATATAATCACTGTTATTCTGTGATGGCAGTAACATAGAACTAACTCAACTAAACCAGAAGAAATAGGAAAGGAATGTACCCCATGAAAAAGGAAAGGGGAACCCAAAAAAATTAAAATAAAAAGAGGGTTTACAAAAAGGTGGATTTTTAAGCCACAAAAGATTGATTACATTCATAGGAATAAGAAAAATGAGTTTCATACCTGAGGTTCATTTGTCTGAGATTCTTGATTACAAGCGGAAACGAGTTTCTGATCCTTCTTCTTCTTTTCCATAGGATGTAATAAAAAATAATCAAACAATTATTCTGCTCGAAACCTTCCTCACACTGAGGGATACAAGTTAGTGCTGTAAATGTGCTATGGGAGAAGATGAAGAACCTAGTGTTTTCTTCAACCCCTGTCCCTGAGAATCCGCATGAATTTTTACAGCTTTTTCTCTATCTCTCTTATTTTTTCTCTCTGTTCTTGTACTCGGTGCAGAGTGCAGACTGGTCTTTCTGTTGGCCACGACCAAACCACATATTTGTGACTCCTCAAGTCAAGTGTATTTTGCCTGCTGTTCAACCTTGAGAAGTCACACGTCTACGCTTTCTATTTAAACCGGTATTTATATACTTGTGACGTTTGTCACAAGTTATATATTCAATTGAATTTAATTGGTCTGGATATTATCATATGACATATTATGCTAGTTGCCCTTGCATTCGTCACATATTCCTAGAATTATGCACCGTCGGTCTATGCAGATTGCAGAATATTTTCCCCCGATATCTTGAATTTCTACATTTGCAAATTTAACTTGTATAACCAAGGTAAGTTGCTCGACGCTCGTCCTAGGAAAACCGCAAGTTGTAATTCTCTGTTTTTTTTCAAAAAATAATACTTTAATAATATTAGGGAGGGGAAGATATTGTGCGACTGCGAACGAGTTAGTAAATACTTTGGCCAGAGCTGTAACGATATTCCCTCCTTATCCATGATAAAGCACCATTTTATTTGTTCACACACAAATTTATTTGTCACCATGTCAAATTTTGTAATAATTGGACTTTGTTAACGCATGAAATATTGCATCAGAGCGAGGGAAGCAACACTGTAAAAGAACATCAACATCAACGCATGGAAGACCACACCAATCCTGTGGTCAAAGCTAATTTTCTTCCCCGGATGTTCAAATAAATAAGTCTCTTTTCCAATGCATTCTCTCTAATTATGTACCATCACGTGTTGTGCAACCAATGATTCCATTTTTTCAATGCAATAACAGATAATTAAGTTCCGCGACCGAAATTACGCAATTACTTAATGCGCATAAACATCTCAATTTTAGCTAAAAGAGCCACAATCGTATCATTGAAGTTGTTAAGGCCTGGAACAGAGCAAGCTCCACCGAATGGTCAACCATACAAACAACAGCATATGTCAACAGCTTAGGAGATTAAGCCAAGTAAAGTGCAAAAAAGAACCCATCAAGGCATCAAGAAAGATAACATAAACAAACAAGTAACAGACTGAACGTGCAAACTTCCTAATCAATACTCATCTCCATCTTCGCCTTCGTCACCTTCTGTAGCCTCAGCACCGACCTCCTCATAATCCTTTTCCAGGGCAGCAAGATCTTCACGAGCCTCGGAGAACTCACCCTCTTCCATCCCCTCACCAACATACCAGTGCACAAATGCCCTCTTGGCATACATAAGGTCAAATTTGTGGTCAATGCGTGAGAAAACCTCAGCAACACTAGTGGAGTTTGAGATCATGCACACGGCCCTCTGCACCTTGGCAAGATCACCCCCAGGAACGACGGTTGGAGGCTGATAATTGATACCGCACTTGAATCCAGTGGGACACCAGTCAACAAATTGGATAGTGCGCTTGGTCTTAATGGTAGCTACAGCTGCATTGACATCTTTAGGGACGACATCACCTCTGTACATCAGACAGCAAGCCATATATTTGCCATGGCGTGGATCACACTTGGCCATCATAGATGATGGCTCAAATGCGCTATTTGTGATTTCTGCAACTGAAAGCTGTTCATGGTATGCTTTCTCTGCTGAAATCACAGGAGCATAGGATGAAAGCATGAAGTGAATCCTTGGATATGGTACCAGGTTAGTCTGAAATTCAGTAACATCAACATTCAAGGCACCATCAAACCTCAGGGAGGCAGTCAGCGATGATATCACCTGAAAATATTTATCACGAGAAAGTCAGAACATTATCTCTCTCATGTGAGAAAATGATAATAACAGAACATACCTGAGAAACTAAGCGATTGAGGTTAGTGTAGGTGGGTCGCTCAATGTCAAGGGAACGCCTGCAAATATCATATATGGCTTCATTGTCAAGCAGCACAGCAACGTCAGTATGCTCCAGAAGGGAATGAGTGGAAAGGACACTGTTGTAAGGCTCAACAACAGAGGTTGAAACTTGTGGCGAAGGATAGACAGTGAAACCGAGCTTGGATTTTTTGCCATAGTCAACGGAAAGCCGTTCCAAGAGAAGGGAACCAAGACCTGAACCAGTGCCCCCACCCACAGCACTGAAAACCAGAAAACCTTGGAGACCAGTGCAGTTATCCGCAAGCTTTCTGATACGGTCCAAGCAAAGATCAACTATCTCTTTCCCAACTGAATTAAAAGACAATTGTAATTTTGTAAGAAGAAGCTGGCATTCAACAATCAAAACATTCAAAGAAAAAGCACAAAATTGTTATTAAATAAATGTAGGGGGTAAAAAAAAAACATTACTAGTATAGTGGCCACGAGCAAAGTTGTTAGCTGCATCCTCCTTTCCGCTAATGAGCTGCTCAGGATGGAATAGTTGGCGGTATGTGCCAGTCCTCACTTCATCAATGACAGTGGGCTCAAGATCTACAAAAACTGCACGAGGTACATGCTTTCCAGCTCCAGTCTCGCTGAAGAAGGTGTTGAAAGCATCGTCACCTCCCCCAACGGTTTTATCACTCGGCATCTGGCCGTCAGCCTAAAAAACCACACAAGAACGTTCAAGAATTTCAAGATTGGCTACAAAAAAAACAAACAAAAAGATTTTAATATCTAAGATTGTTACAAAGCTAACGCTATTGATTAAACCAGGAAGAACGTTAGATCAAAGTAAATCCAGGCTGAATTGAACACATTTGAGTCCATAACCAATACAGAATTCAAAAACTAATAATAATTGCACTATTTAATAACGAACGATGTAATTAGTAATATTACCAAACGGCACATGATGTAATGGCCAAACGGAAAGCAATTCTAAATCTGTTGAATATGAAATTCCGTAGACATAATTGACAGTAATCGTTCAAGATTCACGCAATGCCGTAAAAGATAAAAACAGAACGCATGTTAATATTACGAACAAAGGACAGAAACGCAATCAAAGTTGGTAGTGTTATGGATGAAAGCAATAAATCTAATGAGATTTTGCGAGGGAATTACCTGAATGCCATGCTCGAGGCAATAAAGTTCCCAGCAAGCATTTCCGACCTGAATGCCGGCCTGACCAATGTGGATCGAAATGCACTCTCTCATTCTCGCCGGTGAAGAAGAAAATTAAGAGCAGAGGTTGACGTTTATTAAGACGCCTCTCTGGTTGTTCTGTTCTGTTTTGGTCGCTTCATTTCTCTTTATAGCAGATGGAAATTAAAGTCAAAAATTCAAAAACAAATATTAAAAATAAAAAAAGAGTGGGCCACGGGGGTTTAAAATTTCACAGCGGTTTAACTTGTTAACTTTTTGGGTTTTATTTTTCTTATGTTGCATGAGACAAGTTGTCTCATGCAACACACAAAAAATAAGTGGGACCCGCTTCTTTATTTTCTCTTTCTTCCTTTTTAGTGGGTCCCACCCACTTTTTGTGTGTTGCATGAGACAACTTGTCTCATGCAACATAAGAAAAATAAAACCCTAACTTTTTATTGGCTAGCTTTGCAGTCCAAATTTTAACCCTCGTTTCTGCACATTTCACGGGCCAGGCTCGACGTGGACATCCTCTATGCAAAGGCCGTTTTACACCTCATTCCAAAATAAGATTGAGACTCATTTTTATTATTCATTTGGGCTTTGGGTATTAATATAGGAGAATATTAGTCTCGTGTTATATGGGAATAGTTCTCTCATGTTATAGAGAGAATATAAGTGGGGTTATCATTAAAAAGCAAAAAAGAAAAGAAAAAAAGAGAAAATGCAATTTTTGAAGTGAGAAAAAATAAGATAACTATTTCATGTAAAATGAGAGTAGTATTTTCCGTTAATATAACCCTTAAGTCAACAAATTCAAAATCTTTTCATTTTACATGTCTATTCTCAACGTGCCTCGTTTGTATTTTACAGAATCGAAGGTGGGATGAACCTTCTCCACTAATACCCAGTTGCCTTCAAGTCTCAACCACTACAGCTTTTTTTCTGGTGGAATCACTCTTTCTTGGAAACCAAGTATTCATGAGGAAATGATCGAGGAGAAAAACATTCCTCCTTACCTAAGCAATCGTATGTTAAATAAATTCATCCCATAAAAGAATTGATGCTGTCTTAAAAATTAAGACAATCTATAGACCAGATTTTATCCCTCTAATGCTATTAATACTTCATATGTGACTTTCTAGTCTCTAGTAGTTATCTTGAATAAACTAACATTCCAACAGCTCAATTTCAATTGGGAAACACGTGATGTATGGATGTCAAGAACCCAATGAAACAATGTCATACCTCAACCGTTAGTATCATTTGTGGGTCAAATGAGTGATCTGCTACCATGAAAGAAAGCAAGCTAGGCCAAAATGCTTATCCTTAATTAACTCGGCTCAATCTTTTCTTTTTGATTAAATATACAAATTCATCTCTTATTTTAAGTAAATATACAATTTCGTTTTTAAAAAAACTATTGTATATCTTCATAGTTATTAACTTGCTAAAAAATTCACCTCTTTAAAAAGCAGTTTGTATAAACGCAAATTTTTGAAGACTGGAATAACATAAATAGCATCTTTTCATTGATCAAATTGTATATTCACTTTTTTCTTTTTTTTAATTAGTCATGCACAAAGTCAGATAAAGAAAAAGAGAAAGAGAAAAAGCAGAAAAAAATAAAGACATGCTGCATGAGCCTTATAAGTATAGATCCGCGGTAACTTTCCAATTCACTAATTACTTTTTCTTTGATCAACACAAGATTCAAGTATATATACAAGAAGATTTACATATTGTTGGCATATTTGATTGTGATTAGTCTCATATTGATTGGTAATGAGCTAAATGAAATGAATATAAGTGAATGGATCCCAATACCTTAAGGTCTTAGGTTAAGATATGGTGTCGGACTCCACTTAGCCCATTGGTGGTGGTACCCTGTCACAAGATTTCCCTGAACCTGCCTAAGAGTGGTATCAGAGTTGAGTTGTGCTCGAGTGTAACATCCCCGTCTCGAGCCGGTTCAATTAACATACATATGATAAAACAGAAAACAACGGAAGACTTAACTTATGAAAATACGAGCTAACTTTTTCTTTTTCTTTTTAAATTCTCATTCGTCGTAAACGAAAATCGGGCAGAGTTTCCTCTATAAATCGGACAACTGGGGATTTTCCAATCCCACACAGAAGCATTTCCTGATAAACAGTTTATACAAATATAATCAAATGCCCATCCATGGGCGCATGCATAACTTGGCTCAGTGCCACTATATCTAACAGCATGCAATCCAACACGTAAACATATCTGAATACTACCTCATAATATACCGTGCTTGAATACTCAAATGTACATGCATCAAACTGACAGACATGTACAAAACATATACAGGCCATATACAAAATAAAGGATCAATGTCATGATCCATCAAAGGCGGAAATATAAAATGACATGAATATACTTCCAAAAAGTAGTAGCCTACAGCCACTCAAAATCCGATCCGTCAACTGCCTCAGCCACGTGTCGCGTCCCTGCTTAGTGAGGACTCACCGGGAATCTGGGCACCTGAAAATATGTCCCCAACGAGGGGTGAGATTACAAATCTCAATAAGCTCCAGGTTTATAGAGAATTCTCCATACCCCTGGCTCACTTCTGCACGAAAGTCAGATACAGAGTATACGAATACAACATATAACAGATATCATAACAGAACAGAGCATTTATCCATATCAGAGGTGTGCGCCGTCATTCCCAAGGGAGGACCCCAAGCGGAAATCAACGCACGTGTTCCCGAGGGAGGACCCCAAAGCGGAACCAGACATATCAGAGATGTACACCATAGTCCCGAGGGAGGACCCCAAAGCGGACATCAGGGTACTATACAATCAATGGCCAGAGATTGTTACAGAAATCATATTACAGAAGTCATATCAGAGCAAAACATATCATGTTATCAAATAACTCTATATGAATGCATCTATACAAAGCATCTAAATCACAGTCATACAGTCCAACCATAGTTCACTAACCATAGTGGAGCACTCAAGCAGGAAAAGACTCCTTAAACATAGAGCTTACCTCTTGAAGTTTTACCAATACCCTTACTTGTTGCACAAGTTACTTATATATCTTCAAGAGATTCTGATTCGTTTTTAGTCCCTAGGTACACCTAGAGCAAGAATCCACAAATACCAATTAATAAAATGCCATCATGCCTAGCTTTCACATAAGGCATACATTTTATCGCTTCTTTTCATTTCTTTGCATTTTTGCCAATCCTATGCCAATACACAAGTCTAGACTTCTTTATAACCGTTGGTGTTCTTTAATTTAATCATCCATTCCCTTACGAATTTCCAACATAAATCATAGCATTTTACTTTAAAGGACCGTGGGCCTAAAATTAGGAAATCAATATATTTTTCCATGATTTCTTTTCAAACCATTTCACTTCATGACTTATCATTTTCATACTTTGAAACACACATATTTTATTAAAATAAAATATGACAACATATTTCCCTAAACACCCTATATGTCGAATCCTTTAAGGGAATTTCCAAGGATCCTTCTCTTTTACAATACATTTTCCTCACTTAATTTAACAACTACACGTACATAAATATATAATATATACCAAGTTCCTATTTAATTTTTGGGAATCTCAAGCTCTTTAAATCCTTCAAGGCCGAAACATCAAGGGTATGTTTCAAAGGATTTTCTTTCAAATTTAACATTCTTACTAACTCATCAAATTTCCTCTTATTCAAGCACATTAAACCTTCCCAATACATACAATAAATCTTTGCGCATCACCCCTAATTACCCTATCAAGGCCGAAATCTAGGGTATGTCACCATGGGATTTTTTTCCAATTTTTATACATGTTCATATGCTTATTCCATATTCCTATATCCAACACATCATCAATCCATCATCAATTCAAATTTTAAACTAATTTATTTCACACCAACACATGCTCACAATTTCTATGACACAAACCATCAAAATAACATCATGGAAACAAAGGTTTCTTACCATTAATCAACTTCCCAAAGTCTAGAAAGCAACCTCCAAGCCAAACTCTATCAAAAACTCACTTTTTCCACCTTGGATGAATAGTGCACGAAAATGGGGTGATGGATATCTCCCTCCACAAACGAAATCAGCTCAAATGGAGGGGTGGAATAGCTTCCTTGGATGATTTCCTATGAGATTGGTATAATGGGTCAAAGATTTGGTTGCTTAATCATGGAGAAATCAAAGAAAAATCAAAACAAGCCCTAAGCTCTATTCTCCATGGCTGTCACGGTTTGGGAGGGAAGAGGGAGAGAGAGTGTGTGAGGAAAAGTGGTGACTTTGAGTCACTTAATGTACTTTTTAGCCTATGTGGCTTTACCGGATGTTTTTCCTACGCATATTTTTACTTAAACTGACCCGGAATTAACTTAAAGCTACGGACATATTTTTATTTTTCTAAAATCATTTACATTACTTTTTATTTCTTACAAAACAATATTCATAATTCACAGTATGGTTTTTGCACCGTTTTTGACGAAATGCACTGTGAATCACTAATTGTACTTCGTTTACTTATGAAAACTTAAAACTTATAAACTTATCATTTTCTTGGGCCTATATTGACTTGCTTGGCATATATTGGACTTTCTTATTCTTATTTCATCAATTATTTATTTCTGGATTCTACCGGTTGCTTAAACAGCAGTACAAAATACCCGGTAGAAACACTATTCACGAGATTTTCACGGAAAGTGCCAGTCTATACAATTTTTCGTTCTGAACTCATATTTGTCGTCAGAATTATCAAATTATGTCTCTAAAATTATTTTGCTCTTTTAAGCTCTACCGGTTAATTCACAAAACTGTAAATTCTCCGGCAGAACGCACTGTTCATAACATAGTCATGATTACAGTCAAAATACTCGGAATCACTCACTGAATCTAATTATGGCATTTAAATCCTTAAATTAAATCTCTAATTAAGATTTACCATTTAGGGTCATTATATCGAGCTAGCCAGATGTTTGGCTAGGAGGCGGGTTGAGTACTTTGGGCCTGGATACTCGGTTGAGGGAGAGCATACTGATTATGAGTTTCACAC